TCCCTTCGGCCATGTCTGCAGTCTTCGACCACAACTCAGGGGATATATAAAAATGCATCAGGTCTTATGTTCTTAACATGGGAAAGCCAACAACAGCTTTCTTCAGAGCATAAACTACTTCCTCAACAAAGCTTTCTTATGCAGTTGCACTGTCAAGCTTAGTCAGCTGTTTCTCCTCTGGTTCCTCTCAACTTTCTGTTTCTTCTCCGTGTCTTCACACTTTTGCTGCCCAGCCCGGTCTTCAGGTGGCACAGAGTTGAATTCAAATGTTTGTGTGGCTTTAGGCTTGCTTCAGCTTTTGTTTACTGTTGGATAGCAAGATGAATCATGGCTGCTTTAAGGGGAGCATTTGCTTCATTGTCTTCAACACAGTTTATTGTGGTTTATAGCAATGTAAACAATGCAGGCTTCCTGATTATAAGCAGCATCCATGCAAGATACGATATGGCCATACCTACGAGCTCCTCCAAGCACAGACTTGACCTTTAAAATATGGGAGTGTTTTCTTCCAGCTAACGCAAACTCAGCCAGGGAGGTGTTTATCTCCCCAGGCCATACAGACAGCAATACAAACGTCATTTCCTGTGTGCATACAATGTCCTACTTACGAGTCTAAATACATAACATCTGAGCTTGCAAATAACCTCCAGAAGCCGTTGCCTGCAAAAACCACTAGTGGAGAAGTCACATGATAGAGATTTCTTTGAAATTCAGTGATGCACAGACATCTTGCTGGCTGCCTACGTGCTGCGGTTCCCAAGGACGCTACTGTTCTTTGGTTCTTTTTGAAGCTTTTCCTACACTGAATAATGAAAACCTTTATTTGCAACAGCTTTACTATGGTTTTCCAGAATATGTATATATATAAAATGAGACGGGCTTCTTGGCTGTTTCTTATTCTGGGTTTGTCCAGTGTAAAGACCATTTCAAAGCTCTTGTGCAGATGGGGCAAGTGATGTAATGGCGTTGCTCATCGAAGTGAGCATGAGGAGGAGCAGCAGTTTCAAAGCTCTTGTGCAGATGGGGCATTGCTGTGCTGTACATTACAATGCCATTACAAGTGATGTAATGGCATTGCTCATCGAAGTGAGCATGAGGAGGAGCAGCAAGTCAGCCTTCCTTGTAGTTGTGTAACTTAAGCCTTTGCACATCCCAACAACCCCTTCTCCGAGTCGTGTCAGGACAAAGGAGTTGAAGGTCTTTGGCTCATGGGGGTAAATTCCTCCATGTGCACAGGATCTACGCAAGAGCTTCAATTCTTTGGACCTCCAAAAGTTGGTTTTGTTGTTGGTCAGACCTCATCAGAGTTACGTTTTACAGATCCATTCTGCAGTTCAGAATAGTCATTAGTTGTATCAGACACTTAGGGGGAAAAAAATCAGGCTGTCTTGTGTGCAAAGGGCTGGCAAGCCTAGTAGTTGTCTGCTAATTCCTTCCACTGCTCTGCCCCAACTTCTCTTTCTCCCCAGGTGCAGCAAAGAGCGCAGGAGTGTATCAAAGCTCTCAACCTCATTCTTAAAATCAATTCAGGAGAGGAAGTAATGAATGTACTAAATTCAGACTTTGACTGGAATAGCCTAAAGGTGAGTGAAAGGTGGTGACTGCATTTTGTTAAACGCCTAATAATGCTTCTCGTTTTCCTCTTCCATTTCTAAACTGGTTCCTGTAAACTGTTCTGAAGATCACACCATAGATCTATGAACGTATTCTCAGGTCATCCCAAGCTGGATAGATAGTAATGGAGCTGAAATGATGCTCTTCCCACTTCAGTAGGATCTGTTGCCTAAAAAAATTATTCCATTGAAAAAAATAAAAGTTTGGGAAAGCAAGTCTCTTACAGCACCTGGATTTTTTTGACAGGATTCTGTTGATACTAGCAGAATAGCTGTGATGGGACACTCTTTTGGTGGTGCTACAGTTATTGAGAGTCTCAGCAAGGAAATAAGATTCAGGTAAGTATGCAAAACAAGGCAAGAGACGTTTGGCGCTTGAGAGGTCTGGAGCAGGGGACCTTACAAAGATCCCCCAACTACTGATTCGCTCTTGAAGAAAAGTTTTGTTTGACATGTCTTGTTTTCTCAAGTCATGCTTCCTTCAACTGTGGGGATGTGGTAGACTGTAATAGCTGTATCATATTATATCATGATACTGTGGGACCCTGTAGAAGCTCCTGTGCCCAGATGCCCCTGGCAATGGAGACCAACAAACAATCCAATAATGGATTAATTCTCTTCCCCCAGAGTAGAAATCATTTTGAAACAAAACGATTCATTAACCTGTTTACCTGTTCAGTATCATAGTTTCTCTTTCCCCTGTCTCCTGCAAATCAAAGCACGCTGAGAACTTCCATATAAAGATTTCTGCTTCTGTTTTTGACAGGTGTGGCATTGCCCTCGATGCATGGATGCTTCCAGTAGGTGATGACATTTACCAGAACAGTGTCCAGCAACCACTGCTTTTTATCAACTCTGAAAAATTCCAGTGGGCTGACAATATCTTAAAGATGAAGAAGCTCAGCTCCAATGACACAAACAAGAAAATGATCACTATCAAGTAAGTGTCCAGGATCCATCATTTCTCTGGTTGAAGATGAATGTTTACTCTCTTGAGCTGTTCAATTACATGTAGCTGCAGAAAGGCAGCCAGTCACTACTTCCATGTCCAAAGGAGAGCAACAAAGCTGGTGAGGGGTCTGGAGCACAAGGCTGATGAGGAGCGGCTGAGGGAACTGGGGTTGTTTAGTCTGGAGAAGAGGAGGCTGAGGGGAGACCTGATCGCCCTCTACAACTGCCTGACAGGAGGGTGTAGTGAGGTGGGGGTCGGCCTCTTCTCCCTGGTAATGGACGATAGGACGAGAGGGAATGGCCTCAAGTTGTGCCAGGGGAGGTTTAGGTTAAACGTTAGGAAAAATGTCTTCACTGGAACGGGCTGCCTAGGGAAGTGGTGGAGTCCCCATCCCTGGAGGTATTTAAAAGCTGGGTAGATGAGGTGCTTAGGGACATGGTTTAGTGGTGGGATAGCAGGGTTAGGTTAAGAGTTGGACTTGATGATCTCATAAAGGTCTTTTCCAACATAAATGATTCTATGATCCTCATGGCCCAGGTTTTTACTGCATGTTTAAATTAGACAGCAGTATGCCCCCCACAATGGAGACAGACGTCTCTCCCAAAGCAGCCAGTAACCCTAAGTTTAAGATACTGCAAGGTGTGCGTTCCTGCCTTGGGGCACCAAGTTTTGCTCTGGGCCTCGTGCATCATCTGTGTTCCAACACATCAACTAGCCCTCTGGGTACGGCTGTGCGCTCACCTAGTGAAGGCCCTGCGTGCAGGGGAGTGAGCAGCTCTATGATCCATCTTGTACTCAGGGCAGAGAGACAAGCTGAAGTTTTGCCGAGCCTGCTCCTTATTGCCATTGCAGTGATAGTGACTTACAGTAAACATGTACAAAACATCCTCCCTTCTGTGGTTAGGGCAGAATTTACTGCTAATCTTACATGCTCATGAGAGTAACCTGTTTTTTCTTCCGCTAAAGAAGACAGCGTAAGATGTGTGAAAACTTGAAGATGCCTGTGCAACCCGTGGCATCTTTGGTTTAATCAGACAACTGCATTCTTGCAAGCCTGTTGATCATTGTTCTGTTTGCAGGGGGTCAGTACATCAGAGCTTTCCTGACTTTACCTTTGTGAGTGGAGAAATTATTGGAAGATTTTTCAAATTAAAAGGAGAAATAGATCCAAATGAAGCTATTGATATAAGCAATCATGCTTCGCTAGCCTTCCTGCAGAAACATTTGAGTAAGTATCTCTTTACATCAACATGTGAAGTTGAATTAATAGAATGTTCATAGAACGTTTTGGGTTGGAAGGGACCCCTAGAGGTCATCTAGTCCAACGTGTCCTTCATAGTTCCTATGATGCCTTTTATATAACCATTCTGTTTAGAACAAGATCAAAAGTAAGTGTGTCAGAAAAGTTTAGGTAGAAAAAGCAACATTTTGACTTTTTGTAGAGGTTTGTTAATACTTTTTTAATCCAGGCAATTCAGAGGAGGAACATTGCGGTTTTATTCTAATACATAGAAACCCAGAGTGTCATTTTTTCCTCCCTAAAACATCATGCCTCCCCTGCTTTGCTAAGTTCATTCATCTGTCCTATAATTTAATTTTTCAGTGTAGCTCTACAAAAAGCTGATTACTTAATTCATTACCACCTGGGTTTTCTTTCCTCCATTTTATAGGTCTTAAGAAAGATTTTGATAAGTGGGATTCCCTTGTGGATGGCGTAGGACCCAACGTTATTCCTGGTACTAATATTGACTTATCTCCAGCTGAACCTGAATAAGGAATACAAAAGAAGTACTGAAAATGCCACGGACATCAGGACACTAATGTTGGCCAGACATTGCTCAGACATGTGATAGCATTGGCCACCAACACAGCTTTTGGGGTATGGAACAAAAAAGAAAAAAGGCATTAAGTTACATTATCATAAAAATGTAGAGAGGTTTTAGTTCAAATGAGTTAGTGGGGTTCTCTGAAATACTGCAACAGGGTAACTTCTGCTTTACAGGCAGCTGGGGGGGAAAAAAAAAAAAATCACTTGATGGTAATTTAAACAGTGTTTTTGGTTTTGACTTAGAATCGTTGGCAGAGAGAGAGATTAAGCTCCAAGGAACTCAACTAAAGTTTCGCTTACCAAGCTTTAAGTCAGTTTGCATCCAGCAAGCCTTTTTTGCAGTGTAAGGGAAAAAAAAATCCTTTGTTAATTAACCACTTAGTATTTCAGCTGTGCTCTGACAACAGTTGAGAGTTGGAGCAGGTTTTTGCTCCCTCTAGTCAGAGGTGCCAGTGGAAGAAGGTCTTCAAAACTGTCTTATTTTATTAAAAGTCACAGTAAAAGCTACAGGAAATAGTTTAAAGTAATAGCAGAGAAAGGTGTTTGTTCAGACGTGGGACTTCTCATATGAACTTAATCCACTTACATTTAAGATGTGTTTACTGCCATACTCTGAGGATGCTTCCTTCCAAAAGCTGCTGAAATGGTCACTCTTTCTGTAGCAACTGTAATTCCCCTTAGGCAGAGCCGCAAGCAGTGCCTCTCTTGTTAATCTCTGTCTTACCACTGTCACTCAGTCATACTGCTGTAGGTGAAATTACAGAAGAGATGCATCACTTCTACCACTCCGTTTAACAAGGAGCACATAAGCAATGCTTGATGTCTCCCATGGTTGTAATACTCTCCAGACACTCGTCTTTGCCCAGGCACTAGCATTGCTGCCTGTAACTGTCAGTAGAAGCAGTTGACTACATGGTTGGCTAAAGGCAGCTCTAATTTTTAGAGCTAAACTCTTTGAAGCTGCCACCTGGAAGGGTGACTTCTAAATGGATAAGCCTTGCAAAAGGGGGACTGCTTCTAACTGTAGCCTATTTGTTTCAAAATCAGGTTACAAACAACTGAAGCAAGTGGAACAAGCAAAGCAGTTAACAGTGTAATTAAATATTTATATAATCTGTGATTGTAACATGAGATTGCAATATCTAAGACTTGTTTTTCAGAATTTAATAAAATTGTCTCCAGCCTACCATCATGTATTGTCTCTGTTAAGGGCATGAACATGCAAGTGTTTCTTTTACTGGGTGAGCACTAGCACTCGAGATCTACTGCGATACTCAAGACTATTACATTGCCAGAAATCTTGGGTTCCTCAAACATTATGGCAGCATGAAAAATCCATAGCCTTTGACAAGGAGGAAGAACCTGTGCTATACAGGACTATGGAACAGGACTGGAAAATAGAAACCACTTTTCAATACGTGAGGTAGAAAATAAGGCGAGATAAGCTGCCGCTGTCTTACAGAGAAGTCCTTACCACACTGCACATAGGCTGCAGCAAAAACACTCTACTAGGTCTGCTTCATATTTAAAGGAAAAGCATCATCTGTCATTAGTGCAATTAAGGCCATCTCATAAATACAAGATCCATTTGGTACATGACTAACATTTCAAAGCATTCACCACAGCTTGCAGTGCTCTAGAGAGCTGTTTAGAGTCAAAACAGAACCAGTAACTGCAGAACATGCATAGCTACGTCTAGCTGCAGCAGTACAGTCGAAGATACTCTGCATGGACACAGCATTTGGCCTTACACATAGGGAAAAAACACAAGTCATTAACAAGACACTGATCAGTATATGCCAGCCAAAGCTTTATTCCAGCCTCTTCCACTGCTTTATAACAGCACCGAATGCAGAACTTCAACCCAAATCAACCATGTTCCCCTACAAAGAAAAAACTCCTTCCCCCCCGCCAAGAAAACCCTACACCCTCAACTTTTCTCAGAGAGAAAAAAAAAAAAAACACCCACACACTTAACAATGCAACTTTTCAAAAAGCAAACATCAGAAAGCAGTATTGTGCCACACAGCAGCCTATACAGCAACTCACAAGAAACCTTTGTTCAAGAACCACCCACCAACCGCTGTAAGTACACACATTCGGTAAGGAATGCCCGTGGAGGCAAATTCTTACTTAAGTAAAGAAAGCACAGCTATAAGCTGAGCTGACGCTAAGTCTACCAACAAGCACTATTCCTTGACAGAGAAGTATGGTACTGACAGGCATTTGCTCTGTTCGGTAGAAGAAGCGCTCAATGCTTTGCTTGTATTCGTGTTCCCATGAAGACACGTTTTCATGGGGATGTTTGTGTACACAGGTACTTGTTCAGCTTCATGTGGTGAACGCGTCACTTGGTTTCAGGAATCTTGAAGGACATGAGATCTTCAGCTAAATCTGAACTGCAGCCAGTTTGCTTTTCTACAGGGAATAAAAACAGATTAGACCCAGCAAGATGTTTCTATAAACAAGTATAAACACATTAATACCTAAATCATAGCACTACAAGGCTTCAGACTAAATGTCATCAATGTACTGGACCATATGAAAAGACTACACTTATGCAAAGTTATTCTGTAAGGATAAGACAGTTGAAGCAATGGAACTGCCCAAGAAGATGCAGCAAGCAGTGCTCCCAGATTTCAGTTAGGAGTTCAAGCCACTCCATCCCTCAGTGGGCTTAGCATAAGGCACTGCAGGAGTTTTTGCATCCTGTGGATCGGGCACCTTCTACTCAAACTGCCTTTTGAGGCAGCGGCCCACGTGTGCAGCAAGTTCCATTTCTGTGCCACGTGGTTGCATGACCTTAGCTCACATTTTCTGCGCTGTTGCTGAGAGGATGCATTCACTAATACTGTGCAAAGTATTCAAGAACACAGACAGCGGGCAAATTTGGACAATGGTAATTTGCAACCAAAGAGGGGGGAAAAAAAAACCAAACCTAAAATGAAGTAGTAACCGCTGCAGAAGTATTATCAAAACCAGAAACAGTAAGAGCAAGAATAATCCTGCATTTGAGTGATGCAATTGAGGGAGGATTTAATTAAAGTGTTAAACTGGTGAATCTACAAGTTATCTTAACCACTTCTTTGCCTGTCGGGTAACTAGATCTCTCTTTCAGGCTTCATTATTTGTTATCCATAAAACAGTCAGCTTTCAGTACAGTTGTACTGAAAGACAGTTACCAATTCAATCACTGAAAACACAAATGCTATCTCCGCTTAAACTGAGTTCAGTCTCCATCAGGCAACCACTGGTCAAACACAGAAACAAGTTGCCCAGAGAGGTTCTGGAGTCTCCATCCTTGGATAGATTCCAGACCCAAAAACAAAGTCCTAAGCAACCTGAACAAGTTGACCCCACTCTGAGCACCTCCAAAGGTCCCTTTCAAGCAGAACTGCTCTATGATTCCATAGATTATAGAAATAGTGTATATTCAAAAAGAATCTATACTATTTTGTTTGGTACACAGAACAGGTGTTTGCCAAACACTTCAGCATTTTTAAGTAACAATAAAAGTGTACACACACTATTCACAAACTACCCTAACAACAACTACGATGGTTTTATCATGTGTTTAGATTCACAGACCAAGGTCTATTAAGGGATTGGGGCATTCAAAGCCCAAACTATAATGCTTAATAGAGTCTGCCTAGCAGTCGCTCACCTTGCCTCAGAAATGTGAGCAAGAGTAGCACACGAGTGGCTGATGTTCAAAACCCTACCAAAGCCTGTAACTTAGGTATACCACCCCAGCTTGTCCAAGAGGCTCAATCCACTAAGCTGAGTAAATAAATACTAAATTGATTTCTAATCAAGACAGAGTAGCAGCTTTCATAGGATATATTTACCATTAAACTGACAGTACACAAGCTAGTGCTACTAAGAAAGTTATAACACTATTAGAGTAAATATAGCGCTCGCAGGCCCTCGTTCGCGCTCGCAGGCCCTCGTCCTGCTGGGGGACTATTTTCAAAAATAAAGCATTTTCTAGAAAGTTAGAAAGCATCTAAACATCGAGTACACAACCTCTTTAGGAGGTTTAAGGTAGTCTTACCTTGCAGTAAAGACTCCTCTGGTAAGGACTGCGAGTTTTCTGTTGCAGGGGTTATTGCCTAAACAAAAGGGGAGTCTGTTAGGAAGCTGGCACTATTGCCAAGATAGTCTAGTATTAAAGGAAGCACCTCAATGGGAAACTTAACTTTTTACATCAGCACTGCTGGACTCTTATTTACTACTGTTTTCCCGCCTTATAACTCACTACAGAAGTCTTCCGCCCACTTTTTGCTTTGATGCAAAAACTGCATGTGAAGAATGAACTGGAAATTCATTCTGTTATCCATGTCAGTAGCATGGCTGATGACCTGAGTTTTGGGTTCCAGCCATGAGTTTTCCATTTGTTGGAACTTCATGAAAAACACTAGTGAAAACCTTACTATCATTTCCCAATCACTTTGTAATAGAAGTATTTTTCATGATTTACCAGTTAGTTAACACGTTCTACTAGCATGATCTGTCAATGCCACATGCCATCAGCATTGTTCTTGATTAATAGTAGTCTTCCAGTAATATTTCTTCTTTCAAGCTGTTTTCATTAACCTATTCCCAGACCGAATTCACTGTCCTCAGGCCAAATGGCTGACAGTTTATATAAATCAATTTATGTAAACTATTCATATAATATCAGTTATATAATAGATTTATACAAATTTTTATAGTCTCCATAGATTTCAGAGAAGGAAGGACAATATAATGTCTTAAAGACAAATACTATGCTTCTAGCAGTTGGCATGAATGCAGAGGTTTAGGTTAATGTTACTTTGCCTTTCTATTCTCATGGTGACACAAGAATAAAGAATCACAGCTACACTCAGGGCACCCTTTCTAAAAACCGGTACTGTCCCGCCCAGTCCACACCACCATACCTCAGATGATCTGCAAGCCCAGTCAGGAATACCATTCCAAACATTCTCAGGATCCACAATCTCCTCATTGCCACTGGAGAGATTCAAGACCTGTACAGACAGAGCCAAATTGTATCTAGCACAGCACTGGTTCCTGAGAATACACTCAGCAAATAAGACATAGTAGTAGGAAAATGCAACTGAGGACCTTTGAGAAGGCTTTCAGTCTACATCTTGCAAGGAAGAGCAAGTTAACCTCTAATAAAGGTGAATATTGC